ACAGAACAGAACAGAATAGAATAGAATAGAATAGAATTCTTTATTGGCCAAGTGTGATTGGACACACAAGGAATTTGTCTTGGTGCAAATACTCTCAGTATACATAAAAGAAAAGATACATTCGTCAAGAATCAGAAGGTACAACACTTAATAATAGTGATAGGGTACAAATAAGCATTCAAATCATACTATGAAACAATTAATTTTAAATTGTAAGGATACAAGCAACAAAGTTACAGTCATACAGTCACAAGTGGCAGGGGATGGGCGATAAGGAGTGATGAGGAGATTAATAGTAAAAGTAGTGCAGACTTAGTAAATAGTTGAACAGTGTTGAGGGAATTATTTGTTTAGCAGAGTGAGGCATTTGGGGAAAAAACTGTCCTTGTGTCTAGTTGTTCTGGTTTGCAGTGCTCTATAGCGTCGTTTTGAGGGAAGGAGTTGAAACAGTTTATGTCTGGGATGTGAGGGGCCTGTAAATATTTTCACAGCTCTCTTTGTGAATGTCTGTTACTGGGATGTCAGATAACTTTTCCTTAATTCAATTGTTATTATTATTATTTTTAATAAAGAGCCTTTCTATGCAAGTGGATGACAGCAGCTCTGGAATGCTTCACTAATCTTTAATTTGCACACCTTAAGTCCGGATTAAGGTGTCTTAGGTGTGGATTTCTTGTTATCTGAAAAGCCACCTAGTTTTCTCTTCTCAGATCATAAGAAATCCACCCCGAAGACACATTAATCCAGACTTAAGGTGTGCAAATTAAAGATTAGAGGTTCCCCCTGCCCCAGTAATGAAATCAAAAGCTCTAGAAGCTTCAACTTTCCCGGGGGGTATTAGGTGAGGTCCAGTGACTTCATGCTTTCCCTCCTTTCCCTTAATTTTCTCTACCGATTTGCAAATCCTGTCTTCCTTTTTCCCCTCCAGGAGCTGATGTGCCATGTTGTCAGGTAGCAAGTGCCAAATTGATCTTAATTGTCTTCTCCACCCATCAGTCAAGACAAAAGCAATGCAAGACATCACTCAGGGTCTTAATAATTATAAAGACAGATTGCCCCCCCAAAGCTATTGCATTTTAAAAACTCAGAGAGGCATTTGTACAGAAACAACATTTTCTTAAATACACACGTATATACACACACACACACACACACACAGGCACATACACAGACAGGCAGTCAGACAGGCACACAAACAGACACACGCTGGCTATTTAGTTATGGAATTTTTACCGCTAGCCTAGTTTGACTCAAAGGCTTGGTGTCTCCTCATTTCTTTCAGCTGTTCTACTTCATGTTAAGGAGTCCTCTTTTTCCAAATATGGATGATTAAAGCTATAGAACATTCACTGCCATTTAACAGAAATCTGGGAAAGGGAATCGTTAATCAAAACAACAGCACAACAGGAAGCACCATTTGCAAAACGCAGGCCTGGCTTCTTATGTTCCAAGAAAAGCTTTGCTTTTAATTATGACCAAGAAAGAGGCACATCAGATCATTTAGCAAGATTTCTATTGGCAGGGCCATGATAGATAAGAAAATACAGTTAAAAGTACAAGAAGCAAGCTGGCTTTACAACTTAGAGAAGTCTTTCCTAACCTGGTGTCCTCCAGACGCTTTATTTTGAATTCCTGTGGTTCCCACCTAGCTCACAATGTCTGGGAACGGTGGGAATTGGCTGGGGAAGGCTGACCTAGAACTGTTCTAGACTGTCCATTCAGATATTATCCAAGCCTTATGATTTCAGAATTAAAACAATGCAGGTCTTGATTGAAGGTAAAGGTAAAGGTTCCCCTCACACATACGTGCTAGTCGTTTCCAGCTCTTAGGGGGCGGTGCTCATCTCCGTTACAAAGCCGAAGAGCAAATGCTGTCTGAAGACGTCTCCGTGGTCATGTGGCTGGCATGACTAAATGCCAAAGGCACACGGAACGCTGTTACCTTCCCACCAAAGTGGTCCCTATTTTTCTATTTGCATTTTTACATGCTTTTGAACTGCTAAGTTGGCAGAAGCTGGGACAAGTAACGGGAGCTCACCCCATTACACCGTGCTAGGGATTCGAACTGCCAAACTGCCAACCTTTCTGATCGACAAGCTCAGCGTCCTAAATACTGAGCCACCACATCCCTTTAGGTCTTGATTAGGTTGCTCTTATTCTACATGCAAGATGTCAGGATGCTACAGGAATCAGATATATTTATATTTTTCTGCTGACCAGTAACTCCTCCAGCTTGAATTGAGAAAGAGCGGAAAACAAGCATTCTTGCATTTTTCAGTAGGTGAAAGCTTCTTATTCTGTTACCTATTTTGGTCCCTTTGACCAGTTTTGATATCTAGCCACTGTGTTGGGAGATGTGGTGGTGCCAGCTGTTCCCTCTAATGTCCACTTAAAGTGTTCCATGCAACACAAACCAACAAGACACTACTGATGGAGTTCAAAGACCAGTCATTGTGCAGGGTGCCAAGATGTCTGACTGCCTGGGTAGCATTTATTACATTTATAGGGTTTTTACAAGAAGACAAAGGTAACATAGATTCAGCATTAGGATTGGTGAACACCCCCCACAACCAATCCTTAAAAACAGTGGTGATGTTAGTAAGGTGAGATCACTGTACCAGGTACGGGACTTTCCAGCCCAGGACAGGGAGTGAGATCATGCAAAGAGGCCCCTGTATTAGACACAGCAGTTTGCTGCGTGCGCCATCTACAGGATCTTTTTTGTTACTACACACTACTTCTTCTATGACATTATTTGCTGCTTAGAAAATTCCAGGCTTGGAACACATGGAACTAACTGCAATGATTTCCTAGGAGTATTAAAGATTCAAGGCAATCTGTAAACAGATTTTCATGCCTTTGGAATTTTTCCTATAGGGCAGTGATGGCTAACCTTTTCGTTATTGATTGCTGAAAGTGCGCGTGCCTGCACCCATAATGCATTGTGTGTGCAACCCCCTGTGACCCCTCTGCTCCCCCTGCTCCCCTGTGCATTTGCACGCGCCCCCCACATACCTTGTGTCTCTGCGCATTGTGGCAGATACCCAACAATCAGCTGGCTGGCGGGAGGCGTGCAGTGGACCTGATCTAGGGCGATGGCTTGTATGCCGGCAGAAATGGCTCTGCATGCCACTTCCGGCATGTGTGCCATAGGTTCGCCATCACGGCTATAGGGGATGAATGTCGACCGAGCTTTTATTATCAACAGTAGCCCTTAGAAAGATTGCTTTATCATCAGAGATGATAAAATGTCTGGAGGTTAAAACCTATGAAGACTGGCTAAAGGAAGTAGGTATGTTTAGTTTAAAGAAGAAAAGACTGAGGGGAAACATGGTAGCAGTCTTCCATTACTTGAAGGGGGCCTCAGAGAAGAGGACATTAATCCATACAGGCAAGCAGGACAAAGAAGCAAAGGGTGGAAATGTGGAAATAAGGAGGAATTTCCTGACTGTGAGAACTATTAAGCTTCCAGGAGTTGTTGGTATTCCATCACTTGAAGTTTTCAAGAAAAGATTGACAATCATTTGTTCAAGATGGTATTAGAACTCCTGCCCTGACTAGAAAACCACCAAGTTCCCTTCCAATGAATCCATGAATCTATGATTCTATGAAGTTTAATTCCATGGTAACTTCCTTTTCTTTCTTTCTTTCTTTCTTTCTTTCTTTCTTTCTTTCTTTCTTT